TGACGCAATTCTTGAAAACAAAAACAATTATTTAGTCTTTAATCTTCCAATTTAAAGATTGACCAAACATTTTGGTACCTTAAAATAAATTTTAACTGACAATTTGTTAATACTACGACTAATTGTCACGTCAGTATATTACTCATTAATATATGATGATATTATAACATCATAAAATAATATCCATGTAATATTATGATATTACTAAATAATCGTTAGATCTTATAAATTCCCCAAAGAGAATGTTCTGCAACTTACCACGTGAAAACGAGATGCTTAAAAGTTACTAAACTGATCCTACACCATATCCTGCCAATTTTACCAAGATACCCAGATACTAATGAACTCCGAATGTACGCAGAACTATCCAGTTGTCACGATGTTAATGACGCTTCTTGTTCCAAAGCGTAACACGACTTTGCAAGAACGCGAAACGATAGTTTGCTAGCGTGTGCTTAGGCGTGTAAGCACGCCACTCGTCCACGAGTAGTCGGCGTGCGTGCTTAATAAGGCGTGTACGCAAGTACGTACGCGGCTTAAATAATAGCGCGCGTATCGACGCGTCGCTCGCGACACGTTTTGCGCGCGATATGGTAGCGCGCGCGTACTCTCCTCGCCGATCTCTAAACCGGGCTAGCCATACCGTGCACGGCTCGGTGGCCTCCTTTAACAACCTGAGCAAATTAATTGCGGAACAGCGAGGATCAGGGCCATCGGGGACATGCGCGTCGTGTTAAAAAATTATGCGGCCATTAACTGCAACTTGAAAGTGGTGCGCATGGGATACATGGAAAAGGTCTCGAGCCATCTGCCTCGAAGATAGATGTTCAATGTTATCTCTTTCTTAGTGGAAGAAGCTTCCTCCTCGTCGAGCTTGCGGGTTATAGGATGGAATCGAGAACTGGTCTCTACAACGGAGCGTAATTTTTCCCCTGCGAAAGTCGACAGTATTGTTGATTATTTCAATGAAATCTCTTCTTTTGGAATTTTTGCTGAAAGACTTTCAGAAACGAAGTTGTTTTGATCATACCCAATGTTATTCTGCACGCTTATCGTCGTAACTTCATTGTCTTCAAGCAATCTATTTATAG